AAAATTTCAAAGTAAAATATATATATTTTACTTAGACCAAATCAAATAACTATCCCATAAGAAAAAGCATATTGTTTTAGTATTTGTACATAAATCTCAATCTTTAACTTCTGTACAGTATCCCATTTATGGTTATATTGTTTAATAAAGTTATAAATTGATGAATTTTAGGTGATTTTTGGTTTTTACTTATTATAAATGAAGCTTCACTGAACATCCCTGTACATTTGCAAATATATAGACAGTATGTAATTCCTGTAATAAAATTGCTGGATCGGAGAAGGAAAAAACCTGGCAAGTAAAAAGGAACTCTCTGAAGCAGGGTGTGCAAATGTATACTCTTCACTGTGTATAAAAGCAGTAACAGTAAACTTTAAAAATTAAATTTGGAATACAGTAATTTTAACTTCTTATAGATGAACCAAAAAAAAACCCTTACCTCGTCCACTTCCACTGCCACTTCGCCTTTGAGAAGTGTCACCATTACCTGTAAGGCATCGTTTTGCAGAATATTTAGAGAAAACACAGCTCCTCCTTGAGCACATAAACGACATGGCTATTTCTACTCGATATAGAGTAATTACTTAGGAATCCTAGTCCCTTAACCCATCCATCTCAATTCTAGATTTAATTTAAACCTTAACCTCATTTGAACATTTCAGTAATTGTGTGTTTTTTTCCCTTCATTTTTATCTCAAATCACACTAATCATTTTCCCCTAGCACAGATCCCTTCTCTGAAACCAATGCAAGCTCCATTTTCCTTCCTCCAGTTAAAAGAATAATTTACACCTCAAATTAATTGGTAGATAACATAGAAATAATTCACAGTGCACAAATTTTATAAAGGAGGCAAAACTGTGCATGTATTTTTACCTACAGATCTAAAAGCAGAGAAAATCATAAGCCAACCTAGTGTGCTTAAAACATATATATTAGGTTTACTAATCTAGCACTAAAAACAAGTATGAGTGATTAATATTCAGTAATAACTTTTATTTCTCACCTGTGCCACTGAATGCTGGTCTTCTAGAACCGAAAAGGCCGCTAGTGCGCTGCATACCCTCATCTTGGTCGAATTCATTATCTTGATTTGAAGAAAGTAAAATTAGATGTTACTTTTAAAAAA